TTTCATTAACCTGTGACTACACTTTATTTCTCTTTATTTTGCACGGTTTTATTGATATTGATTTGATGATACCATTTCTTTCGTGGATTTATGAAAACATTATTAAAAAATCTCGGTGTTCTTTAAAAAAATGAGAATTCTAGTCGCCATTTTGTTTTTCTCCACTCGAAGAATATGTATCCAATCAGAGGAGGTTGCTCATAATCGGGACRGCTTCAGAAATGCAAATTATTGGCTATTTYAATAGCAGCATTTTGGATACCTGATCTCCTGTGTCTGGAATCGATCGGGTTCTACTGCCTTTAGCTATCCTCAGTCTTTTATATCTGACATAGAAGACAAAAAGGTGCCTTGTTGATGCTACTTTCTGTTGGCTGGAATTCAAGGATAGCGATTTTTCGTATGTGAAAAAACTCGCACAATGTATCTCGGACTGATTTACGTTGGGGGTTAAGCATAGCTGTGCAATGTGATAGGTTGTACAAATCGTGAATGTACTAGGTTGTCTCAACTTCAGGCTACATCAACATCGTTACCAGGCTGTCTGCCTTCCGTTTGTGGAACAAGGGAAAAGGGCTTGGGAATGAGGTTACCCAGAGCCTGCCGTTCTGTCGTGCACGCGATAACTCTGGGACGGAAGGTTGGGTTGCACATAGATGCTGCTCAAGAATCAGTCCTAAGCCGTCGTACAACAGGTTACTGAGGCTCAAATGTATGTAAAAAGAAATCGCAATATTATCTTTTATTTTTTGTCTTGTTTACATCTTTAACTTTCTGTAGTTGTTATTATCGTCAATGATCCTATGGCTTATGGCCAAAAGGCAGAAAATAGAAAATGGCCTGGGAAAGAGTCATTGACAAGGTGCAGACACTCGCGATATCRTTRCTAAGAAGCAATGTCAAAACTTCACTTCTTGTTTGCTATCTACCACGCCAACCAGGTATTTTGGTTATGCATCCAATATTTTTACAAAGCAGTACTCAGTTTTTGATTTATAAGCAATAACGATATAAAGAAAGATTCTTTAAATGTTTCAGTTGATAATAGAATGTCAGCTCAGTGTTTTAAACTCAAGTTGTCACTTCGTCAAATCGGCAATATTCTCACTTTTATTTTCATGTCCATTTTGACCGCCATCTATGGTCTTCATCTTATGACTGCCATTGCTTCCCGTGTACGWGGCCGAGTAAATATCAGCTGTATTACTGYCTTTGCAACAACAGGAAAAGCATGGGAACAAGTCATGTGACCATTCCTTAGTTTGTTTAGGACTGACGTACGCCATTGTTATCGCTGCTCCAAGCTCAACAAGTCGAAAAATTGACTGGAAAACCATCCACGGTACAGGCTTCGGTCTGGTGATTTCCGCTGACCGGTACATGTTGTGAATCCCAAAAATGGAGTACAGCTGTAGTGCACAGCAAATAAATCCAAGACCGGCTGTGATATATGTGATTTTAACTAGTTTGGATACATTAGGAGTGTAAGGCCGTATTCTTCGACGTGCGGTCGCGTTGTCCAGCGGTGTTCTTCCGATTGACCGATTTCCCATGTGACATATYCGTGAAGCCGAGCGGTGTACATGCGTGATGATCTTTTGTCCTGTGTGTAAGAACGAAGTGGATAGAACAATGCTAAAGACGATGTAAAACACCTGACATACGAGAGAAAGAGCTTTCCAGTCGGCATAAACAAAGATGATGAACTCGATAAGGAACGCTAACATGAAGTGAACGGTGAYGATAAGAAGAAGAAACTTCCAGTTTTGTAACTTCCGCGGGTAAACTTTAAGTTTGATTACTTGTACAAACAAGAGATGGATGAACGAGAAGGCTGCCGTCAGACAAGGTAAACCCACAGCAAACAAGAGTCTTGACAGTAAAATAGGGCACGTTGGGAGCACGTGACACTGTGGCGATTCGTACGGGTTTATGAAAAGGTAAAGTCCTCGTGATAATCCAAATATAAACAACAGAGAGTTGATGAATATCGATAGAACTCGTCGACGTCGTTTAGCTTCTCTTGTGATAGTCAGAACTGACCAGGCGGCGTACAAAGCCAACAACATAAACAAGCAGCCAATACCAAGCCAGTGAACGCTCCATCCCCAGGACCACACGGACTTCGCATCAGCCCATTCTGGGATTGGTTCCGCTGCGGGACCTTCTGGTTTGTCGCTCGGTTCTGGTTCGGATTTTATTGACGTATTTGATGGAGCTGGTTCGCTCATTTAGACTACAAAAACAAGCATATAGTATAGTTATTAGTAAAAGTAATTGAAAGGCTTTGGTAGTATGATATAAAAACGCATGGATATAACGTTTGAGGTATCAGCAATCACGGCAGTATTCCAAATAAACGCATGTAGCCATAGATATTAATGAACAATAAACAGCAGGGGTCATTTAGGCTGAAAGTGAAAAGTCATCGCTAATTAATACAAATGTAAACATTGACGTCATTAAGATTTGAAAATATCCTTATATGGAAATAGTTACATATAAAGTATCAATGGTCTAAATTTTCCGATGTCAAAAGTGACTCGTTTTTAGAAAGAGAATAACAATATTGAACATTATAATTGTAATACTTTCTTTAATTAATGCTTTTGTGTTAACAACAAAATTACTAGTGCTAATGAGATTAAAGACGTAAGATTTTTATGTATACATTAATGTTATGCTATATCGACCTGTATTTGACCAGCGTTGACGCTGTTAAAATAGCAAATGATCAACATTACATTTATTTAGTAAGTTGGTGACAAGATCTTGACAAGTATTGAACAAATTATAACGCGGCTTCGATAACACTCATTGCCGCCTACAAAATCACAAAACATTAAGATGTCTGATTTTAAACACATTTTATTGTACACCTAATTGAAAAAACCTTGTCTGGTTGAATGGTCGAAGCTAAGACGACCAAAAGGCATCATGTCGAAGGCAAAAAAAATAGTACAAGTATTGTAATAAAAGTGTTTCAGTTCCCAAACAAGTGTTTCAGTTCCCAAACACTGTTTGCACTAAAAAATCATCACCTTCTCTAGAATAAATAGGTGCGACAGTGCGTGTCGAGGAAAATATCTCTCAAACTTCCGAAATACCCAAAATCCTTTTCGGTCTTGGCTTCGACGATACTTTTTGAACCTTACAACGTTTTTTCAATAGGTGTACATGAGTAAACAGTGAAGTCTAATAACAGCGGGTTAATAACGAACGTTTGAGTCGTAGTTTTGATTTTCTCAGTAAGTAAACTATATTCTAGTTCTGCGATTTTCTATGTCCGTCACAAGCCGACAAAGGCTACAATGTTAACCTCCTTGCAACTGAATATTATGAAAAATAAATAAACATAGCTGAAAAAATAACATTGGTTTAATAAGAATTGATTGAAGATAAAAACATTGGTTCAGCTGGAGTGCAAAGTTCAGTTTTCTTCTTGTTTCCCTTTTCTTTTTTTCTTTTTCTTTTTTTCGATTCTTTATTATCATCATTATTACTTTTGTTATTATTATTATTGTTATTATTAGTCTATTATTATTGTTGTTGTTGTTATTGAATTGCTTTTATTTGACATACTTTTCATTTTATTCATTGTTCTTTTAATCTACGTAATTGCGAATTACTCCGCCTAATCCTTTTTCACAGATACTGAAATGCAAGACAATCAAAGACCATTCGCAGTTCTAAATATAGACTCATTGTGATTGGCTGACCAGAACAAGATACTCTAATTCTGATCCGTTGAAGAAATATGACATTGCTGACAATTCTGATTTACCTTGGGAGAATTGATTGGGGTTACTAACATCTTCCCCTCCAATAACAAACTACCAGTTCTCTACAGCATCGACTTTTTACCGCAAAAAAGATTGAAAAATCAAACAAAAATAGTTGATGAAGTGTAATTTTTTAATCACTT